CCCATAGTTGCCAAAGTAAGTACAATTTCGAAATTCCATTGCTATACCCACATACAGGGAAGGGTTTTTGACACTTTCAGAACAAAAAAAGAATTTTTTCCTGAGGTTTTATTTCTTGCGCACTGGAGGGGTACCATGTTTATAGGCCGCGCAGTTAAAGGGTTAAAAATGTTTGTGGACACATTTATGACACAGGTAATAGTTTCTTTGAACAGTACTAATGTATGAATATTGTAAACACGTTCAACATATATAGGATAAGCTAAAAATAAAAGAAATGCATTTCTAATTGTGCAGAAAAAATTTATGTAAAAATTATTTGTGGCAACTTGCGCTTGTTGAATCTGGCTCGCGTCCACCTTCGGGAGTCTCCACCATGGGCGACCACCCATCTGTCACGTCCCACCCAACTTTCTGGACACCATGCGGCAAAAACTAAGCCCATTTGAGCATTTTTTCCCCCCCCACCATATTTTCCACCATATGTGGTCGGTAGAGAAGTTTTAACAATTTTGTAATGAAAACAAAAATATTTTTTGCCAAGAATTTATTTTTTGGTGTACTACGGGTTTGTCACATTTTATAGCTGCGCAGCCTACAAATCCTCACCACTGGCACCACCATTTACGTATTTTTTCATTTTGACTATAGAATATGATAGGGCAATGAATTACAAACAGGCAAAACAGTCAAATGTTCTCATTTGACCATTTGATCACACCTTTGTGCAAGAGTGATGGAACCTTCACAGATCCAGTCTCTGTGGTGTAGTGAAAAAAAAGAGACTCGCCTGGCGTTCCGCGAGCGCTTTGTCATGGGTTCGTATCCTGGCCGGGGAGGATTTACTGGGCGCAAATCCTTAACTGTAGCCTCTGTTTAACTCGACAGTAAAATGGGTACAGTACTTGGTTGTAAAAATTATTCTTCGTGGGGGTCACATTCCAGGGACCATAGGATTAAGGACTTGCCCGAAACGCTATGCATACTAGTGGCTGTACAAGAATGTAAGAACTATTGTATATATATCTATATAAAAAAAAAGACAGCAACTGAATAAGTGAAATACTGGTTAGAGTACGATTCTATTTTCAGTGAACCCTTGAACACATTGCAGATCAAAGACCCAAACAAATTCTTTAAGAATGTGACACCACCAACAAACCATATATCAGATGTTACCTTAACCCAACTGGACTTTGAAGTAGCTGTAGACAGCATGCCCATGCCAGACCCAGATTCCTGGAATTCTATGTTCATCAAGAACAGCAAAAAGCTACTATCACAGGCTCTAAACATCTTCTGAGATAGAGCCTAGGATACTGGTGTTATCCCCTGACATACTTAAAACGGCAGAGATTGTGCCACTTCACACAGGATGTAGTAAGGCATAGGCAAAAAATTAGAGACCAATAGCTCTAACATATCACACAAAAATCTTTTGAAAGAATGCTAAGAAATAAGATCACAAAACACATGGAATTAGTGTCTACATAACCCTGGGCAACATTGATTTAGAACAGGGCACTCTTGCCTCTCAATTGCTAGAATGACCTTAGATGCCATGGAAGACACAAAATGCTGATTTAACATGAAGTTTCGAGTAGCACTGGTTATTGTGAGCCCGTAGTGGACTACTTGCCATGGTGTTATTACACACAAAAAGAATTACTGGCAAAGTAGGGAGATGTATCTTTAACTTCCTAACAAACAGAGCCCAGAGTGCAATACTCAACAAAGTAAAATCTGAATAATCCACTGTGAAAAGCTCAGTTCCCCAAGGTACAGTTCTTGACCCGGCATTTTCCCTCATCCTCATATCAGACAGACAAGGATACAAACTCTAGTACTGTATCATCCTCTGCAGATGACTGTAGAATTTTCATGAGAGTTGTTGGATATTTCCAACACCGAATACAACATTGTTGTATTCTCATTACTTATTACTAACCATACTAATTATTGTAGTAAGTAAAATTAACAACACGTAGAATTCTCATGTACTAATAATTTCATCTGTGCAGTAGGCTAGAATTCTCACGTCACCTGACGCCAGTATTGCGTCAGATTTCCTTACAGTAAACACATTATATCCAATTTGTGTGAGAATTAAATTCGATTCTCCATAATTAAAGCATTCTGTAAGACAACTAATTGCAGACGAATTGATCTCTAACTAAAAGCCGAATAGAGCGTTAGAATCATAGCGTCTATCTCGCGATAGAGTTAACGTCACCAATGAATGCCATGGGGAGACATTAATTCCTCTCCCTTATATATTTACTATTCTTAAATTGGTAAATAACAATATTTTGTTCCTCTAAATAATAAACCCGTCCAGTCTTTAACGTTTCAAGCGCAAATGCGAGAAATATTAATGTTCGAGACAATAATTTGTTTTATGAACGCGGGCTCGGCGTGGGTAGAGGGACGCCATCCTCAGTACACGTGTAGAGCCGAAGAGAGGCAGACCTGCGTTACTGTACTCATAAGAAGACGCCATTGCCCAGCAAATAGGGCAGGTGTTATCCATCCTCAGATGAAAGTCGCCACTGTGAGGCGTGAATAACCTTGCAGATAGTATCTTCAGCTAGTGCTGGTGTCAAATAAGGAGCCTTTTGACTTGGTTCCTGCCGACACGTGACCAGCCAGCGGAACGCATCATTATTCAGGATAGGCCTAGCCGGAGCCTGAGATACGAAACACGGCAATCTTAATACTTATACAGTGCCCACAGCTAAGTATTCTTTTATGTGATGCATCAGGTAGAAGTTTGATAGTAGCAGGGTGATTGTCCGTTAAGACGCGCGATAACACCTAATAACAGGCGATTAAAATTTGTCACCTGTAAATCTTAATATTCTTGAATATAAATTTAGTAGTTAAATCAGTTGCTACTGAAAATTATTTATCTTGCAGCACGAGAGAAGAATTCCTCATGCTGCCTTCCCCATGTTAACCCGTTCCACTCGTCAGTGTACCGAGTCTGGAGAATAAGAGGACTTCTATGGCCTTCTAAGGGAATCTTCTTTAAGCTAAGATTTATTTCCTTTTGCCATTCTATTGCAATTTATTTTGTGCAGAATTCTTTAGGATTAATGTGTGGTTTACTGTAACTCATTACTATGCTCATAATCTATGTTCTTCCCTTTGGTAATGATATCAGTTTCAATATTATTTTAGAGGATTAGATTATTATTAATTGAATTAGTGAACGAACCACACTAATTCCTGGACGTACTTACCTCCAGTAATAACCCCCCAATGTAGGTGTTTGAGGTTTGTTTCATTTAATAATACAGCCCATTAATTATTATTATGATCATACTTTCTAGTTTTATCCATAGTCAGTGGTTTCATCTAGGAATTATCTAATGATCAGAAATTCTCAGTTTCCCCTCTTTACTTTAAAAGCGGGTGGTCCTTCGTAATTTAATTTACTACATTAATATTTAAATAATTAGAATCAAGCCCCAAATATCCCACAAGAGTAGACAACATAAAGAACACAGCAAACCTCCACTCTTATGTTAATCAAGCCTTTCACTGGGCCACAGAAAATAACATGTTGTTTAATGTTATTTTAAATAACACAACTTGATAATGGTCCAGGACAGACCGAAACGTCGTCATCTCGTCACTTTCTAGTGTGTGGTTTGGTCAACATGATGTTTAATGAGGATAAATTCCAATTACTGCACTATGGAAAACACAAACATCACAGCAGAAATCATATGTAAAACAGTCAAACCACACTACTATTGAAAGAAAAAGCACTAAAAGATTCAGAAGTAATAATGTCTGAAGACGTTACTTTTAAATAATACAACAAAGTTGCCATCACAACTGCAAGAGAAATGACAGGTTGGATAACAAGAACCTTCCAAATGAGAGATGCCACGCCAATGATTATACTTCATGACATTAGTGCTCTCTAGAGTGGAATATTGTTGCACACTAACAACCCCCATTCAAAGCTGGAGAAATTGCTGACCTGGAGAGCATGCAAAGATCCTTTACCACTAGAATCTACTCTATAAAACATCTAAATAAATGGGACTGCCTAAAATTTTTAAATCTTTTTCTAGAGTGCAGGTGGGAGACACACAATAAATTACACTTGAAAAATATTAAGAGGACTGGTTCCAAATATACACACAGAAATAACAGAAGACCAGATGGCATGGCAGAGTATGCAAAATACCCTGCATCAATGAAAAGCAGAGATGCAATAGTCATGCTGAAAGAGAATGCTATTAACATCAAAGGCCCAAGACTTTTCAACACTCTTCCCCTACACATACGGGGATAACTGGCCAACCACTTGCAGTGTTCAAAAAAGAACTCAATAAGCACCTTCAAAGGATTCCTTATCAGCCAGGCTGTGACTCATCCCTCAGGCTGCGAGCAGCTGCATCAAACAGCCTGGTTGATCAGACCAGCAACCAGGAGGCTGGTCAGAGACTGGGCTGTTGGGTTACTACTCCTTGGAATCATTCAACAGGCAAGTACAGTAGAGTATTCTTCCTAATTTTTCAAAATTTGTTTACAAGAATTAAAGATGCAGAAGAGAAGATATATTACATTACCCAGTAATCTGTTCCACAAGTCAACAATGCAAATGTTTTCCAAACAAATATTTACCAAGGTCTTTCCTAGACATTTAATTTTGTATTTTCTGGTATACTATACAGTATATGTAGCACCTTTTTAATATCCCCCCTTTCATTCACTCATGTCACCCTTTGATTTTTGAGGGAATGTAAATTAAGCTTTTCTCAATCTCTTCATTTGAAAAGTTACTATTTACTTATACAGTATTAACTTTGTCATCCTTTGCTGATCGCATCCAAGTGAATACTGTATGTCCATTCTTAAGTACAGTGACCAAAACTGAACTGCTGCCTATATGATATACTGCACTGAATTCATCACCGATATGCTGAAGAATACACGAGTCTTTAAACTTTCAAAGGCACCAGAAAACATTAATTTTCACTAACTTTGACTAATCCATTTACTGTTGTGTGCAGTAGGCGCCTCCTCGCATGCAGAATAGATTGTCCAAATTTTCGAGTCAGTGCCATAATCAAAATCTGAAATGAAGTATTTAATGAATACATAAAGAAAGACAAAAATATATAGATATGAAAATAATTACAAATGTTACACTAAATATAATGTATAATAGCAAACAATTACTAAAACAAAAATATTAAAAAAAAGGGGATAATTCTGACAGTTTAACCATGAAACTGGGAAACCTCCACTAGAAAGTATGGGTATAAGAAAACAAATGAGTGAAAGAAATTAAGGACCACTAGGTAAAACAAGGAATAAAATTGGTCACCTCACAACAGAGGAGTGACCCGGGAACTACTACAGTAGTCCAGTGACATTGACCACATTAGCCTAAGAACTGACAGCTCAGACCCATGGAGGGGGGGGGGTATGCTCCTTACCCCCAACCCCCCTGCATCCAAACAAATGGACAAGATGGGGTGAATGAACTCATGCTAGTTTCAGGAGATTTGATCCTTTGTTTTTATAGCCGAGGAGTTCATTAAGTGGACTGCGAGGCTTTGGTCTCGAACCTGCAGTAGTTTCTTATGACTCGCTCTCTAAATGCTTTGTAAGGGAGCAAGGCTTTGACTAGCCTCACCCAGTAAGGTGGTGAAATGTCACTGCTTCCTGAGCCTCTGAGGGGGGCCAGGTTCAGACTGTGGTCCCCAGGTATGCATAAGAACCCTATAGATGATGCAACCTGGTAGATGGGAATCATCTCTGTGTACAGCTTCAGGGGCTCGCCCCAGAAAGATCTCTGCATACAAATAGAATATAACATTTACATCACACATCTTGCACAAATGTCAATTATTTTATTAGATTAGGTTTGTAGTGATCACTTGGCACTACTTTTGGTGACCCTTTCCGAACCCCTACTCATTACATGTGCCCCATTATTAGTTTAGGCATTTCAATTAAAACAATTAAAATACAGTACTTTTCAGCCTTTACTTCATTTCTACAAATTCCACTTGGTAATGATACAGATTCCTTTTCTTTCCACTGCTACTTTATAACGAGTACTATATATGGCCAGTATTTTTTTTTTGGTGGACAAGAATTTTTTTTAGTCCATCCCAAACAAAATCATATGTTCTCCACTTGAAAATTGCTTTCAATAAATGAATGATAAAAAACAATACAAAAATGTTTTTTTTTATTTTCCCACAAAAAATATTTGTAAATCAGGTGCAACATTACACCAGAATAGAAAAAATCAGTTATTTCCTTGTGCACACTAAAATAAAACTATCTTGCCCAGCAAAGTGCATAAATTACAGTGCTGCAAATTCCTACTTTCTCCTGGCTGCTCCGTTGCGCTGGTCATATCACATATGTTAAGGCCATTTTTTATAAAGTTAACCTTTACATAGCCAAGAGCCAGGAAATACCAACCCAAGGTGCAATCCACTGTTCATAACTATCTAGACTTATAATTACCTACTAAGTTATCTGGTGATGCTTGTCTGCAAGAATATAAACTTTTGATGCACATGTACATTGGAGACTTTCGGCGCCATGGAGAGAGGGGGGAAGGAACCTGCTGCATGGGTAACAGCTTCTTTCCCGTATCAACCTACCCTAGTTTTATGCCCTGGAGAGGCCACTCCAGACCGACAACCAGAGCACAGCGCCATGGTCTCCCGAGACTGATGGATGCCTACAACTGTACTAACTACCCAAGCGTAGTTACAGGATGAGAGCTATGCTGATGTCCAGTCTTTACAGTGCTCTTTGTCATGTGACATTTTGAAACTACAGTGCTGATAGTTTAGGCCTCCACCACCCTTTCTCTTAATTTAACTAGGTTCATCCATTTACCACTGTTTGCAAAAGTGAACTTTTTAGTGCTTTTTCTGCAGCATTCTTTCCGTAGTATGAACTTATGTCACCTTGTTCCTAAAGTTGAAATTTTGAAGAATAATTCTTTGTTAGTTTTGTAGATTCCTGTTACTATTTTGTACATAGAAGAAAAACAAGTGATATGATCACTATCTTCTAGCTTTAATACATTTAAGACTAATCTCTTCTTGCAGCTCTTATTTTTTAGTTCGGGAAATTATTTTGTCTTAGTTGTGGAAATTATGGAGTGGAGTGGATGAAGTACTGTATTACTCCATTCTTAAACAAATTTCCAGTTTGATACATTGCTTCTCATTACTGTCCTCTTTTTTTTTTTTTTCTTTCAAATTTTTTTCAACCAAGTCAATAGTCTTCCTGTCACTACTCCAGTATGTTACAGTTTCCAGAACGTTTTGTGGGGGATTCTGTCAAAAGCCTTTTATCCAGATACATGCAGTCAACCAACCATTTTCTTTACTGTAAAATTCCTGTGGCTCTAATAGAGACTAAGTAGATTTGTTACATAGCATTTTTCCCAATGGAAAACTATACTGATGTATCATTTCTCTCCATGTGATTTCTCTCCCATTTATTTTTAATAATTTTTTTTTTCAGTGTTTTGACTACTATGTTGGTCAACAAGACAGGTCTATAATTAAGAGGATCTTCTCTGCTACCACTTTTGTAGATAGGAACTGTTAGCCTTTTTCTATACATCTGCTAAGATTCCCGTACATAGAGATACAGTACAGTACAGTGGTACCTCGATTTAAGAGTTTAACCCTTAAATTGCGCATCGCATCATATGATGCTTTGGAGTACTACGCAAGATTTAAATGGCCCGCGGATACACGGGGTTCACCACACCTTCATCAGGACTTGTAAACAGACGCCTTTTTAAAAAAAATTGTGTGCCAAATTCCTGGGTGTTAGGGGCCTCAGTATTGAGTGAGCTACCAAGCCTGACGCACGCAGCATGAGCTCACAGCACTGCTGTTCAGCTTGTGACCACAGCATTGCCTAAAAATACCATAATATACTTGTTCATGCTATTATGTTGCGATGATATTATTACAGAAGACCCCTGACTATGATAAAACTGACCAGGGTTCTAATAATAGCAGGATTGTGGTGATATTTAGCGCTGTGCTGCATGGAGGGAGGAGGGTGGTGGCGTTGTCTTCTGACTGTGTGTGGCCACCTTTTATTGACTGCACTCACCATACCGGTAAGCTTAGTGGTTTGCTATGGTGAATACAAATGTAGATACTTATATATAACGTGTGTATAGAGGGTATTGTGACGATAATCTCTTTCAAGAGATTGAGCCTGCTCTTCCTTACTTCAAGTTACGCCAAATATACAAGTATAAGATGCTACATTCAAGATACGTCACTAGTAGCACAAAACGTTTGGCCAGGAGGCAAAACGTACCCAAGATCCCTCCACTCCACACACCCTCCACACGCCGGCTCGTCATCAAACCAGCTAACTACCCTTCACCAGCTTGCCTGCTCCTGATTGGCGACTCACCAACCGCACACCTGCACACCGCACCCTCTACCTGAGTCGACGTCTGAGCCTGACCAGCTATCAACTTCAGAATATTCTTTGTGCTCTTAGAGTTGACATCTCTTTCTGGCATACTAGCTCATTGGCTCGTATACGAGGGAGGTTTCAGCCATAGCCGATATTCTCAGCACCATTTTAACATTTCACCTTTATATTATTGTGTCTCACTTTGTCTTTGCATTTATCTTTGTCATTTAATTGTATTTTTCATTCCCCCGAGATTTGTCTTTATTTTCATTTATGTTTAAAGTAAATATATTAAAGTTTCATTGTTCATACTTTGTGTTTTACGAGTTCCTCCCTCTCACTTACCACAGACAACAGGCAAGCAGTCTATATTTTTGTTTTAAGTGTGACCAGGCTTTGACACCTGCCATTGGAGGACTGCCGAACATGTATACTCCAACACTTTCCCATCACAGTATAAATAGCAAGAAGAGTAGGTTGGGAGCCGCCATTTTGGCGGTGGCGTCGTCTGCACGACTTACGTTGTTTACTGGTGACCACGATGGTCTTTGGGCACCATACCAGTTTACTTGTACAAGTATGGTGAATAAAACGGGTAGATATTTATATATAATGTGTATATAGCATAATAACACCACAAACAGTATTGTTGGAGGAGAAATATTAGTGCGTCTGGCCTTGAGGGCGGCAGCCAGTTGACTGTGTGAGGTCCTACGTCTTTGTGCCTTTATTCACCATACAAGCTTAGATGTACAGTTATGGTGAACAAAACATGTAAATACTTATATATAATGTCTGTATATAAAAGCAAAAACAGTATGGTGGGTGGAGAATTGTGGCAAGTCAGGTGAGGTGAGGGAGTGGCAGCCAGTGGCGGGCTGCCTCTGGCTGCCACTGCCACTCAGCATACCAACTTAGTGGTTCGTTATGGTGAACACGAATGTACAGTAGATACTGTACTTATATATAGCTTCTCACATAATATATAAAGATTTCTCACATAATTTATAGGTCGTGTGGGGTCTATGTTCTCCAATTCCACATTCCATAACATGGCATTTATTCACGTTAAATTCCATTTGCCAAGTGGCGCTCCATGTACTTATTTTGTCCAGGTGTTCTTGAAGGGCATGACAATCATCTAAGTTTCTTATCCTTCCTATTATCTTAGCATCATCAGCAAACATGTTCATATAATTCTGTATACCAACTGGTAGATCATTTATGTAGACAATAAACATCACTGGTGCAAGAACTGAACCCTGTGGTACTCCACTTGTGACATTTCTCCAGTCCGATACATTGCCTCTGATCACAGCCCTCATTTTTCAATGCGATGTCCGTGAGGTCTTCATCGCCAGGAAGAACAACTCTGCTTCAAGAAGTTAAGGCATAAGGAAAAATGCCGAGCTAAGTGCACCAAGAGGATGTCACTGGTTTTTGAAGAGTCGACGGATGTAACTGACTAGTTACACTCTGAGCAACCTCGGGTGAAAGTCCCAAGTGAGCTGGCCCTATCAGATTAACAGTAAACAGAATTAAGGGGGGGGGGGGCCTAAGAGTGAGTTCGAGCCTCGGGCAATCCTGTGGAGATCAGCCCAGTTTGAGCAACAGTTTGGGGGCCAGTGGTTTGAGCACAAGGCAACCAGGCGAAGGCTACCCTAATCGAAATAAGAGCGACAGTGATTTATGACCTTCTATAGTACAGTACAGTGTAATACTGTACTAGGGGCCCACAAGTGAGGTGGGGCCCGTGAGCAGCAGCACAGGATGCAAGGTGTTAAACAATATTTGCATCCTTGGGTTTATTGATATGTATATTGACCATGGTTTGTGCAGAAAATGACCACTTAATAGTAATCAGGAGGGTTAATATGTTACTCACATGAGGGGGTAATCTTGACTGGGAATGAGCAAAGGGTTGCCAGAGGTTTATTAACATTAAATTCCATTTGCCAAGTGGTGCTCCATATACTTATTTTGTCCAGGTCATCTTGAAGGGCATGACAATCTTCTAAGTTTCTTACCCTTCCTATTATCTTAGCATCATCAGCAAACATGTTCATATAATTCTGTATACCAACTGGTAGATCATATTTATTTTAATGTGACTGCATGGCGGTACTGTATGGTACAGGCCTGAGTGGTACAGATGTACTCACCTAGTTGTACTCACCTAGTTGTGTTTGCAGGGGTTGAGCTCTGGCTCTTTGGTCCCGCCTCTCAACCGTCAATCAACTGATGTACAGATTCCTGAGCCTACTGGGCTGTCATATCTACATTTGAAACTGTGAATGGAGTCAGCCTCCACCACATCACTTCCTAGTGCATTCCATTTACTAACTGCTCTGACACTGAAAAAGTTCTTTCTAATGTGTCTGTGGCTCATTTGGGTACTCGGCTTCCACCTGTGTCCCCTTGTGCATGTGCCACCCGTGTTAAATAATCCATCCTTGTCCACCCTGTCAATTCCCCTGAGAATTTTGTATGTGGTGATCATGTCTCCCCTAGCTCTTCTGTCTTCCAGTGACGTGAGGTGCAGTTCACATAGTCTGTCCTCATAACTCATGCCTCTTAGTTTTGGGACTAACCTAGTGGCATACTTCTGAACTTTTTCCAGCTTCGTCTTGTGCTTGACTAGGTACGGACTCCATGCTGGGGCTGCATACTCCATGATAGGCCTTACATATGTGGTATACAAGGTTCTGAAGGATTCCTTACACAGGTTTCTGAAAGCAGTTCTGATGTTAACAGCCTCACATAGGCCACTGATGTTATTCTTTTGATGTGGGCTTCAGGAGACAGATTTGGTGTGATATCAACTCCCAGATCTTTCTCTCTGTCCGTTTCGTGAAGGACTTCATCTCCCATTCGGTATCCAGTGACTGGCCTCCTAGTTCCTCCTCCTAGTTTCATTACCTTACATTTACTTGGGTTGAACTTTAGTAGCCATTTGTTGGACCATTCCTTCAGTTTGTCTAGGTCATCTTGTAGCCTCATACTATCCTCCTCTGTCCTGATCCTCCTCATAATTTTCGCGTCGTCAGCAAACATCGAGAGGAACGAGTCAATTCCTTCTGGAAGATCATTTACGTATATCAGAAACAGTATAGGTCCAAGGACTGATCCCTGTGGGACTCCACTGGTGACTCCCCGCCACTCAGAGACCTTACCTCTCGTGGTGACTCGCTGTGTCCTGTTGCTTAGGTACTCTCTTATCCAGTGGAGTACCTTCCCTTTCACTCCTGTCTGCATCTCCAGTTTGTGCACTAGTCTCTTATGTGGTACTGTGTCAAAAGCTTTCTAGCAGTCCAGAAATATGCAGTCTGCCCAGCCCTCTCTCTCTCGCCTGATTTTTGTTGCCTGGTCATAGAACTCAATTAATCCTGTTAGGCATGATTTGCCATCTTTGAACCCATGTTGATGTTGTGTTACAAAGTTCTTTTGCTCCAGATATTCCACTAGCTTTTTTCGCACAATCTCTTTTCTTCTTCTTGATAGTAGGTGCAGTTTGCATGAAGGGTTTGTCCTCCCGATGACTGCACCAGTACAGATGTTGGTAGAGGCGTTTATGTTGAAGATGATAAGAGTTTCAAAAGTGCTTGTTGCGTTGTGGTGTAGACAGAGGAGCGGCGACTAAAACAGAGGTGTATGTTAGAGGGTGACTCGCCGCACCGTAGGACGGTGTGTTGTGTTTATGGCGTCAGCTGATCCTTGGTGTTGCGACGAGGCAGTTGTTTTCTGTGTTTAGCTGTTGGTGGCGCCAGGTATAAATGTGGCACGGATCAGATGTGACCCAATTTGTTGGTCGATTGGAAATATTTAGCCAGTGCTTTGACTATTTGGTATTTTTCTTGTAACGAGTGGTCACCGCCTCCTAATATATGCTCGATGGTAAAGGGTATTTTAAGTGAGATAAGTACTTGTTTGAAATTTACTCTGGCACTATAATGTCGGAAGCAGTGAAGGAGATAGTGTTCGACTGTTTCAGGCACCTGACAATGGATGCAGAGTTCGTTGATGTCTGTTCTGTACTTAGAGCTGTGTGCTGCTAGTTTGGTGTGTCCCAGCCTTAATCTGGTCATCGCTATATCAATTCCTCTGCTTTTATATCTGACATGTTTCCAAGTTTCCCATTTCTTTTTAATGGACCCATAGTACAAAGGTGAGCATGACGTTTTCCATTTCGTCGCAAAATCTTGAGTGATGGTATTTTTGAAGGCTCCTTTACGTGCAACATGAGGAATTGGATGATGGGTAATGTGAGGCGTGTTGTGCATTGCTTTGGCTAGTTGGTCTACAAGTTCATTATGGAGAATACCACAATGCGCTGGGACCCATTGGATAGAGGTATCATAACCGTTCAATCGATGTTCATGAAGTTGAAGACATGGGTAAACAAACTCCTTGCACGTTTTTGAAGAGTACATAATTGCTTGAATCGCACTCTTGGAGTCACTGCAGATTGTATATGTCCCGATTGGTAGTGTAGTGATTATTTGGAGAGCTTGATATAAGGCATATAATTCAGCTGTGAAAACAGATAGTTGGTTTGGTAACCGCCATCCCTGCTCGAGATGATATTCCGGTATCCATACAGCGCTAGTGACCGAGGGTACGTTGTTCATGATTATGCGAGATCCATCTGTATAAATCGCTGTGGTATTTGGGTAGCAATTTTCCATTGTTGAGAGAAAGACTGAGGTTATGACTGAGTTTGGTGCAAACTTTGGAATGTTGTCCTCGAGTTGTATTGCTGTATTAGGAGTTGTATAAAGCCAGGGTGGAATAGGGGGAACAGCAAGTTGGGTTTCAGAGTTTTGGAGTAGAGAGAGGTCTATATTGAGGTTATTTGTAGCCCGTGTGAGGAAAGGTTGTGAGTGATTGGTTGGGAAGCGGGGGTTATGTGGGTTAACTGTTGGGTTGATTTTTTATCTGTATGGGTGTGTCTGGTGAGCAGTGATACAGTGACAGATAGTTGGCACACATTATGTCTCTTCTGGTGGCTAGGCTTGTAAGGCCCGTTTCCCCGTAAAGTCCGAGGATAGGAGTGGAACGCATTGCGCCACATATAAGTCGCATGGCATTGTTTTGGATGACGCACAATCTTTTCCATCATCTTGCATGGAATTCAAGTTAGGGCCTCTTGCCTATCACCCTTCTTGTATATTGGGACTACAATATATATTGGAGATTATATATATATATATATATATATATATATATATATATATATATATATATATATATATATATATATATATATATATATATATATATAATATATAATATATAATATATAATATATAATAATATATAATATATAATATATAATAATATATATATATATATATATATATATATATATATATATATATATTGGATATAACAATATTATCTTGTATATTGGGACATGTGTAACAGCATGGAGGTCCTGTATGGTACAGGCGTGACACTGGTACACGTGTGTAACAGCATGGAGGTACTGTATGGTACAGGCGTGACAGTGGTACACGTGTGTAACAGCATGGAGGTCCTGTATGGTACAGGCGTGAGTGTGGTACACATGTGTAACAGCATGTATGGTACTGTATGGTACAGGCGTGAGTGGTACACATGTGTAACAGCATGTATGGTACTGTATGGTACAGGCGTGAGTGGTACACATGTGTAACAGCATGTATGGTACAGGCGTGAGTGGTACACATGTGTAACAGCATGTATGGTACAGGCGTGAGTGGTACACATGTGTAACAGCATGTATGGTACAGGCGTGAGTGGTACACATGTGTAACAGCATGTATGGATAAGGCGTGAGTGGTACACGTGTGTAACAGCATGTATGGTACAGGCGTGAGTGGTACACATGTGTAACAGCATGTATGGTACAGGCGTGACAGTGGTACACATGTGTAACAGCATGTATGGTACAGGCGTGAGTGGTACACATGTATGTGGAGAACATTACATATAACGGTGCAGATGCTTACCTAAGAGTGAGGACTGGGGAGCCAGGTCCGGGGCGAGGGGTGGCAGGTGTGTAAGGGGTGGCAGGTGTGGCGGTACAGCACGGTACAGCCCAGGTACACAACATTACCGCCCAACAGCTGGTATCTCATCATCTGTTCCTGCTGGCGGCCTTCAACACCATTTCTCACAAAATTCATAAACATTAATATAATTGTCAAAATACATCGTTTCGAGACATACTACTTCCGTTAAATGTTTTTTAAATATGTTGATGAGATAAACGTTTAAAATGTGTTGTATAAATTGTATTGAACTAGATAATTCATCATAAACACATTTAGGTATGATTTTATTTATTGATAATTGGTAATAATAAGTATTTGTCAACATCTTCCCGCATCTTATCGTTCACAATACCGTCTTGAAGGCTACATAAGAGACACGCCTCTTACTGTTAAACACTACAGGTTTACCTTGAACAATGATGACAGAAATACCTTTTTGTTTTGCTCAATACATATGTCTAGAATTAAATACAAAGATGGACAAAAAATAGATTATAGAAAAGTGTACATTGGCATCTGCTAGAATTTAATTTTCCTCGTAATTGTAATTACAACATTATCGGGGAGAGTGGTAATAAGTATATATCAAATTATCATTTATGAGGTTTTACTAATATTAAAAATTAAATAATCTGACATATAAATGTTTATATGAATGATATTTAATTTTTGGCAAAAGAACCATCGACCTAGTCCGAGGTCGACGTGGCCATAACAAACCACTGTCAGCTGAGGCCGGAGGAGAGACCACTGCAACTATGATCGGTTCCTTCAAGCAGATGAAGAAGGATGAGGAGGATGGTATGTAGCTTAGAGCAGAGAGTATGATAATGAATGTGAGGGATGAGTGTTAGATGAGATGAGTGAAGCCTGAGGGGGTGTTGCCGGCAGGGCTGGTGACCTGTCACTTCCCTCTGGCTTCAGTAGCTGCTACACTACTATTCGTGTCGGTCACTTCCTGGGGCTTCAGTAGCTGCTACAGTACTGTTCGTGTCGGTCACTTCCCGGTGCTTCGGTAGCTGCTACAGTACTGTTCGTGTCGGTCACTTCCCGGTGCTTCGGTAGCTGCTACAGTACTGTTCGTGTCGGTCACTTCCCGGTGCTTCGGTAGTTGCTACAGTACTGTTCGTGTCAGTCACTTCCCGGGGCTTCAGTAGCTGCTACAGTACTGTTCGTGTCGGTCACTTCCCGGTGCTTCGGTAGTTGCTACAGTACTGTTCGTGTCAGTCACTTCCCGGGGCTTCAGTAGCTGCTACAGTACTGTTCGTGTCGGTCACTTCCCGGAGCTTCGGTCGCTGCTACAGTACTGTTCGTGTCGGTCACTTTCCGGGGCTTCAGTAGCTGCTACAGTAATGCTCGTGTCGGTCACTTCCCGGAGCTTCGGTAGCTGCTACAGTACTGCTCGTGTCGGTCACTTCCCGGAGCTTCGGTAGCTGCTACAGTACTGCTCGTGTCGGTCACTTCCCGGGGCTTCAGTATTTTTTTTTTAGATATATACAAGAGTTACATTCTTGTACAGCCACTAGTACGCGTAGCGTTTCGGGCAGGTCCCTGGAATACGATCTCCACCGCGAAGAATCGTTGTTACAACCAAGTACACATTTTACTGTTGCATTAAATTGAGGCTACAGTTAAGGATTTGCGCCCAGTAAATCCTCCCCGGCAAGAAAGCTGCTACAGTACTGTTCGTGTCGGTCACTTCCCGGGGCTTCAGTAGCTGTTACAGTACTGCTCGTGTTGGTCACTTCCCGGGGCTTTAGTAGCGCTACAGTACTGCTCGTGTTGATCACTTTTCGTGGCTTCAGTAGCTGCTACAGTACTACTTGTGTTAGTCACTTCCCGGGGCTTCAGTAGCTCGTGTGTACTGCTCGTGTTGGTTGCACTTCTCGGCTTCGGTAGCTGCTACAGTATTGCCAATGTTGATCATGGGTAAGTGATTATTTCAGGATAATTGTCAATATTGTTTTTCAATAGTTTTCATATCGGCTATTGTAACCTTAAGTTAGTAAAAACAGTACTCCGAATAGTTATTAAAATGTCTTGCTATTGGGTATTTGTGTTTATCAGGCACTAAATGCCCTTGCCACCAACTTAGTTTTTCTGAGGCCATTAAGTACAACTTGGTCAGGGTAGGTTAGGTCATCTTGAGATGATTTCGGGGCTTAGTGTCCCCGCGCCTGGTCCTCGACCAGGCCTCCACCCCCAGGAAGCAGCCCGTGACAACTGACTAACACCCAGGTACCTATTTTACTGCTAGGTAACAGGGGCATAGGGTGAAAGAAACTCTGCCCATTGTTTCTTGCCGGCGCCCGGGATCGAACCCGGGACCATAGGATCACAAGTCCAGCGTGCTGTCCACTTGGCGGACCGGCTCCCATACTTGTAGTTTATTAGGTACTTGTACTTTATATAGGTACTTATAGTTTATTTCCATAATGAGCAGAACTTGCTGAAGAGAATACAGTGCTCTACAAGATGTCACAGTATCATAGGTCTTGTATTTTTGTCATGTATTTGGTGATGTGTAATATCTGGGCCAAATTCTACGTTGTAGTAAAGCTATGATTAATTCATAATTCATTTTGTCGGGGGATAGGCTACTAGTGTATATATACATGTTAGGCTTATATTGTTATACAGTATTGAAGACCCACGAATACTGAATACTGACCCCTCCTGGAGAGGGTCAGTATTCAACCCCCCCCCCCCTGGGTTGAATACTGACCCTCTCCAGGATGCAACCCCACAACAAGCTGGCTAACGTCTGGGTATCTACTGCTATGTGGACAGGGGTACTAGGCGATAGGAACCATTTCCGTCCCACCCTGGATTTGAACCTGGAGTTCTCAATTTTGTCAAAATCGAGAACGAACCTGGCTGTACTACCGGGACTCTTCCTTATGATATCCTGCTGCTATCATGTATTAGTGCAGCTTCCTATTGATATGTATTCAAATTATGCATTGCTTAGCCTAACAAACCAATTTCACTACATATCAATATAGGCATCGACAACCAGAAGTGTGTAAGAGACTTCTAAGATTGAAATAAAATTGGTAGTAGGAGTCAATGCCGTGTGCCTGTTGGCCACTTATTCTCGGCAAGCCATCTAAATGCAACTGCTGTCCATGTATCTGTTGACCCTACTTTTATATATGGCTATAACATTTGCCACTATGGTGTTGGTTGGCAATGTATTCTAGTCTACCATCCTGTTTCTAAACCAGTACTTCCCGATAGCCATCCTGAATCAAAATTTTTCCAGCCTATATCCATTGTTATGGGTTCTGACCTTGCCTGATAGTTTGAAGATCTTGATCATGTCTTCCCTCACTTGTGCTTTTATGATACTGTATGTAGACAGCGCTCCCTTAATCTTTTCCCATATGAAATGGTCCTGAACTCCTTGGATCAGTCTGGTCACCATACATTGGATTTTCCTGAGGGAATTGATGTCCACTCTGTAATAGTGACCAGAATTGGACGGCAAACTCTAAAAGCCTCATTAGCCCTCATATGTAATTGGAGGATATTTGTTCATTTATTACCGTGGCTTATGCTTATACACACACACACATTTATATGCTTATCCCTAGGTTTTGGGTTATCTCGAGGTTATCTTGAGATGATTTCGGGGCTTAGCTTCCCCTGGGCCCGGTCCTCAACCAGGCCTCCTTTTTGTTATTTACCCCCCAGGAAGCAGCCCGTAGCAGCTGTCTAACTCCCAGGTACCTATTTACTGCTAGGTAACAGGGGCATCGGGGTAAAAGAAACATTTTGCCCATTTGTCTCTGCCTCTACCGGGAATTAAACCCGGAACCTCAGGACTAAGAAAACCTCAGGATTTGGAGAACCCGATACCTGATATTATCTTCCTAGGTGACTTCAACTTGCCTAGTCTCAGGTGGAGAATAGCAAACAATAATATTATACCAGGAAATCTATCAGGACCTAACCAACCACAGATTAGAGAACTACTTAGATTCTGTGACAAATTTTCACTCAATCGGCAGATATCGGAGCCAACGAGAAATGAAAATATTTTAGATCTGGTCTTTACGAACAATGAAGACATTATCAGAGACATTACGATATCAGATACCACATACTCAGATCACAAGCTCATTGAAGTGCAAACGACCATCAATACTCAGAATAGACCTAAAACGTTGATAAAGCGAGAGGGGCTATTCAGTAAATTCAATTTTAATAATAAAAGGATAGACTGGGAGATAATAAACAGGGAACTCACAAACATTCCATGGGAAACTGTTCTAAGTAATACAAGTCCTACAGAAGGAATAGAAAAACTGACTTCGGAAGCGTATCAAGTCTGTCTGAAACATGTTCCTTTGAGGAAAGCCAGAAAGAGATCAACGTAGAAAGAGAACGCGGAGACACTATCAACGTAGGAAAAAAATAACGGAACTGCTTATGCAGACACGAATTTCCCGTCAAAGAAGGAATAATTTCAGGAATAATAAACAGTCTCCGTGGTGTAGTGGTAAGACACTCGCCTGGCGTTCCGTGAGCGCTATGTCATGGGGTTCGTATCCTGGCCGGGGAGGATTTACTGGGCACAATTCCTTAACTGTAGCCTCTGTTTAACGCAACAGTAAAATGTGTACTTGGATGAAAAAACGATTCTTCGCGGCAGGGGATCGTATTCCAGGGACCTGCCCGAAATGCTACGCGTACTAGTGGCTGTACAAGAATATAACAACTCTTGTATATATATCTCAAAAAAAAAAAAAAAAATTAAATGGGGAGATTGAAGAAATCGAGCGGAAATTGAAACACTCATATGAAACTGAAGAAAGGCAGTTAGAACAGAAAGCAATTCAGGAAATAAAGAAAAATCCAAAATATTTCTTCACATATGCGAAATCAAAAGCAAAAACCACTGCCAGTATTGGACCTATTCGTACAAGTGAAGGTTCATACACGGAGGATGACAAAGAAATTAGTGAAATCCTAAAAAAGCAGTAGGAGGACATGTTTAGCACTCCAATAAACAACATAAAAGTGGAAGATCCAGACAATTTCTTTATGCGGGATATTCAAACCCCTGTAAATATACAGTAACTGATAACATGAGCGCACTAAATTTTGAAAGAGAAATTGAAAACATGCCCATGCACTCGGCCCCCAGGTCCAGACTCATAGAATTCAATATTTATAAAGAAATGCAAAGTGCCGGTAGCACAGGCACTTGGTATAGTGTGGAGGAAGAGCTTGGACTAGGGGGAGATACCAGATGCACTTAAAGTAGCAGACATAGCCCCTCTACACAAGGGAGGGAGCAAAGCATTGGCAGGAATTATAGACCAGTTGCACTAACATCGCACATCATAAAAGTATTTGAGAGAGTGATTAGGAGTCAGGTCACCAATTTCATGGAGACCAATGACCTTCACAACCCAGGCTAACATGGATTTCGAGCGGGAAGATTGTGCCTCTCACAGCTACTTGAGCACTTCGATAAAGTCACTGAGGCATTAGAAGAAAAACAGAATGCTGATGTGATATACACGGACTTCGCAAAGGCTTTCGATAAATGTGACCATGGCGGATAGCACACAAAATGAAGTCAATGGGAATAACCGGTAAAGTAGGACGCTGGATACTCAGTTTTTTTCAAACAGGACTCGGTGAGTAACGGTCAACCATATAAAATCTAGTCCAAGTGCAGTTAAAAGCTCTGTACTTCAGGGTACAGTCCTTGCACCGCTGCTTTTCCTTATTCTCATATCAGATATAGACAAAAATACAAGTCACAGCTTCGTATCATCCTTTGCAGA